GATCATTTATTTAAAGCCCAATGATCACGGACAGCTTATAACCTTTTTAGTTAGCCAGGATCACTTATTAAAGCCCAATGATCAGGGACAGCTCGGTCCAGTTTTTAACCATCAAAAAGCTGCCGACTTTGATCAGAATCGATCCGACAACCTTTTAATTGTCGGGCAAGCACTATAACCACTCAGCTACCCAGCCAGTCATGGTTGAACACTTATATATACAATACATATACAATACATATACAATACATATACAATACATATACATATACGCATACAATACATTACATATTCAAGTAAGCAACCAGCTCCTTTGTATTACCTACACTTGTAAATCTCCTCTTCCTGAAAACTTACAGAGTCTTGTACAGACAACAACAGTTTAATCAGTGCAATTCGAAATCTGTAATGTTTAAAATTAGTACGTCGGGTACAAAGAACGATTCAGCAAATATTTCAGTGTTTAGATAACAAATCTCAACCAACCAATCTCACACACGTGCATTAATTAACATTAAAATTTCTCTAGTTTTGCAACTCACAGCAGGTTATGAGTCCCACCCCCGCACCAGCACTGCCTCCGTTACTTATCGCTCATCAACGCGTCTCACCCGGTCTATTTACTGCTCTCATTATGATGATGTTTTGTGCCGAGTGCCAAATTTATCGAGGGCCTCACAGATATGGAGGTTTACGAGGCATTTAAATGTAATGGCCTCATTGCCTCGAGCCTTGCGAGGCTGCTTGCCTCACGAGGTCTGCAGCTTCTAGACGAGATTCACATTCAATATTTCGTAGACAAAATAATAGTTATTGACTTTGCTGTAGCACTGGTATTTATAGTTTAACAGGTTGTTTTGTACGCTATGTGCTATGGGAATTATACAACTGTGTTCTATAATCATTGATATTTGTTTATCATATTGAGATATGTCTTCCATTGCTGCGTATTCTAACCTGAATTGAAATGAGCTGGAAGTGTACTTAATGGTTGGTTACCGACCATGATTGGACAGGGCCATTAAAACCCAATGATCAAGGATAGCTGGGTCCAGTTTTGAATCATAAAAGAGCTACTGACTTTTCTTGGGACTGATGCTGGGAAACCTACTGATTACCGCGCAAGCGATATGTCCACTCAACTACCCAACTGTGTTGAAGAGATACGTATACTGAAGGGCGTCCAGTGTTAGTTTTGATTACATTATACAGACAACACATAGCTGCAAGATAACTGTCTTAAGGTGTCTTCGAGAACGAACAATAAAAAAAGAATACTCTGTTGCATATGGTTGTCAAAGTCGATGCAAGGAGATGCAAGTGGTTTACCCCAATGTCATACTTTTATTAGTACAGTACACGAGTCTCTTTTTCCAAATGTTTACTTCAAGACTTAAAATATTCCCACCCCATCCACTACTCTGACGAGGAGGAGACGATTAAGGCATTCTTAAGTGAAAGTTTACATCAGTTAATGGTTTATACAAATCATTAAAATGAAATTTCAAGAATTCCTTTTGTAAACAAAGGCAATTATGATAGATTTCCAGGGTGATAAAATATGTTGTTCTGGTTCTTATTTAGAGTCAAAACTGGTGTTTATGTCCATATCGTTGAAAACTTTCAAAATTAATTCATCCAATTTCACGTGAGGCGGGAAAATATACAAATTAAAACCCCCAAATTCAATTACTACAAGTTAATACCACGGCTTAACAGTTTAAACCAAGAGGCGCGATGACTTGCTGTTTCCCCCCCCCCCCACCACCAGACGTTCCCGAAAAGATTTCCCGACATTCCCTTTAGGGGTGGTTTTTATATTGGGGTGACGACGGTTGCGTCTTGAATAACAATGCCTCCATTATAAGAGGCGCGTGGTTGCTGCGATCAGGTGTTGGGGAAACTGTTGGGAAACATCGGAAACATTACTGCACGCCTCATAAGCTTTGGGCTGCTGCGGAATAGCATTGAGATTGTGGAGGCTTAAATTGAAAAGAGGTATATGAGATTGGTTAGTTTTATTGTAAACAAAATAGGCTTCGTTACCTCAGTCTGTAGTTATGTTCGTCAAAAAACTGGTGCTGACTACTTTTGCAACAAGCTTGCAGCCAAGGCCACACTAAAAGAAACATGCCGTAGTGCTCGTCAAGCATGACGTCACGATAGAAGACAGCAATGACGTAGGTATTTATTTATTTATTTTCCAAGGAAAGATTAAAACAAGCAGCTGATCACAAACGGCAAACATTGCGTCATTGCCGTCTTCTATTACGTCGCTAGTCATCACCTTGGATGCCGAAAAATTTGATCAACTCACATGAAGTGAAGTAAGTACACAAGTGTAACATGTACAAAATACTCATAAAATACAATGTTCATCAAATGAATCCACGGTGTATTAAATGGATTGCGATGAAATTAGCATTTATTTATTGCGAGAGATAATTACGAATGAAGAAACGATTGTGTATTAGAGTTAAAAACTTGCAAAAACTAGCCTATATAAAAACTGGTCGCTGTGTTGTGGAAAGGTGTTGTGGTGCTGTGGACTGTGGGTGGTCAGATTGAAATGAACCCAATACAAAATCAGTGTTTCTGTAGTAAAAGTTGTGTTACATCACGATGTTCACATGGTTAAAACACTTTTGCTGAACATTTGAAATTCGTCATGGCCTATGGAGGTAAAAGACGAGTCCAAATAAATAGATCAGCAGCGAAATGGGAAATAGATAAAAGACCAAAATGTCCCCATAAGTCACTTTTACAAAATCCATACAAATCTTTTATATAGGTAGATTATTATCAGACCTCTTTATATGTTAAACAAATCCTCTTTTGTTTTAAAAATATGAACAATCGTATATAATAGTGGACTACCTCAAGAAAATGATTGGTTATCCAGAACACTGGACGGATCAAATTCTCACTAAAAATAACCTAGTGAGTAAAACTACCATCGGCACTCTGATAGCATGGAAAAATAATAAATTTACCTCACATAACAAAATTATGTTGAACACGCATCTTCCGATTAGATGTTTCCTATATCCTCAATTATGGTTTGGTTAGATGTTGCATCTATTTAACGTTGTATTATTTCTACTATAAGTTTCCCTCCAACAATCGTTCCAACACCACATTGAACACAACCTACCCCACGCCCTTACACTAAAAGCCTCATACATCTCCAGTGACTCACCCCAAGCCACCCTTAGCTAATCAAGCGACCTCGTCGAAGGACTTCGACACTTCATGCTGTAAAATCGGCCCTTCCCCGCGCGCTGCCCTTTGATTAAATAAATACGTTACCAGCCATGTGTTGTGGTACCAGAGTAGAGTCGTTGACTTTTGTGTACTGTAGTTTGTGTCGTATAGACTATGTGGTAGAGTCACATGGATTAAATCCATTGGTGATTGGTGGGATTTGAACCCAGGACCTCGGGCACTTAAGCTATACCACTAGACTAGCTCGCTCCCCAATTTTGTACAGTAGTAGACATCTCTATATGGACCAGCTTTAGGAAATTACCAATTCATATAACACATACAATAGTTGAATCGTTGAATGTTCTACTGACTGGGTGTACTTATGTCGGTACTCCATGTTTCATCCGGGTTTTTTTTGTGACTCAACATAAAAGCCGCTAGAATAACAAGTTGCCCATTTAATTAAGTAAAAAAAAATTAAAATATATAAAATAAAATTTGTTTTATTGAATGAAATGTTTTTGTTAGTTAGGATTTTTAGCATATTTGATAGAAATAAGTAATTGAAATCAGCTCACTCTGGCGGTTAAACTCAACTACGTTAAATTCTATTTTAAAACTGGCAAAAACTTAGAAATAATTATATGCAAATATTTAATGTAGTTTTAGGAAAATCTATTTTACCTTAAGATCAATATTCAAAGCATGTTTAACCTTGAAGTAGTTGAGTTTTCTATGACACCATGTTTTTACCTGTTTCCATACAAGGATCAGCTGGTTCAAGTTCCCTATTACCAGGACAGGTTTATACGAGTTTACCGCTGCTACCCGTTATATTACAATGTATTCCAATGTGTTTATTAACGACGCTTCGTAAATTACTTAATTCAGTATTGTATATTTCGTACCTAGGGCCGAAAATTAGGTTTTGCCGGCTCGAGATAGTTTTTAAGTTCGAGACGAAGTTGATAACTTAAAACGATCGAGAGCTGCAAAACCATTTCGGTCCGTGGTACGAAAGCAATTTTTCACCAAACTATACCCTATTACCACTATTCACCACAATAAGAATGTACACTAACAGTCAACACAAGTACAACTTTAAGGTTATGTGAAGAAATCATTTGAGGAATGAACAAAAATAATAATACATAGTTACTAGGCAACGGTGATACTGATTGTGTATTTTATACTCCCCGCAAACTTTCGTGGCGGCTGAGGGATTAGGACGGCCGGGTGGTGGCCCGGCCCCTAATTAGCCCTCGCTCGGCTGCACTGGGTTTTGACCATGAGTCAGGCACTAGGCGTATTGCATAGTTGATAGAGTTTTTGTATATCGCCATAAAGTGTATTAAATAACGTAATTTTTGAAACCTGCATCAAATAACAAGAATATTGAGCCCAAACACGAAATAATTACGATGATTTTAAGTATATACTTGGTTTTAAAATAAGAGACAGTTTTTTGAACAAGGTATATATTTAAGGTTACTGTATTTACAAACTATTTACACTACTGTTCACTAACTATATGCAATTTACAATTATGTACGGTACAGAGAATATTGTCCAAATCACGCCGGAGTTGAATGTGAAACAAAAGGATAATTGCGATATTATTAAATACAGGCCTACACTTTGTTTAAGTATAAAATTATAGAATAAATTATATACATTTTAGACAATTTAAAAACTATTCACAATACTTTTCAAAATCCATTTACTATGTTATCCAGATCCAGAGCTGAATGTGTTACAAAATATTTTCTATATTAACAAGTACAGACCTACACGTTTTTAAAGAATAATACACAGTTTTCAGATCAAGATGTACATCTAAGAGTATTTACAAATTATTTACATTACTGTTGACTAACTATTTACAATTATATACATAGAATTGTTGGTTCTCGCAAGAGCTGCTGGAGGTGAAACCATTTCCCTGAAAAGAAATATCTGTTAGCACCATGCCGTTGTTATTCGAATCTATATATGAATACAACTAAAGTTTGGTTTAAACATTGACTAGATTGGTGATATTTTCTTTAATTATATGAGATTTAACTGACCACAAGATAACCGTTTGTAGAACGGGCTAACAGCATTTTTAAAGCATTATAATCTACTCATACTGTGAGAATGTTTACCTGTAGATGTGCAGAATCCCTTTATAAAGTAAAATAAGTTTAAAAATTAACACAACAAATTTAATTGAAAAATTTACATGGGCCTAAAATAACGATAAATATTTTAATCAAGTTTTGTTACCTTTTAGTTCAACAGATTACAGCCAATGTCTTCTTCTTCTGACTCTGAGTCTTCTTCGGTGTCGTCGCTGTCGCCAGGGCATAGGCTGATGATCATTTCCTGGACTCTACGATCACTCAGGCCCTCACTTGTCCAATCGTTATCCAAAATTGTTTTTACATGTTTCACGTAACTTGCCCATTTGTTCGGTGTTACAGCAGAAACAGCCTCCATCAACAATTTCTCAACGTCTTTCAATTTAAACGTGGTGTTCCTTTCTTTCACATAGTTTTTTAGTTCGGACCATACCATTTCTATAGGATTATACTGACAGTGGTATGGCGGAAGGCGTAGGATTTTGAAACCTTGTGAAGATGCCTTGCTGTCAATCTCATACGTTTTCATATTTGGTTTGTGGATCTTGATGAGGTTATATAGTTCCGGTTTTCTTGCATCGATAGGAAATGGTATGTTTTTCTTGGTGAGCCAGTCGATCATATCACTTTTTCTTGAACACGAAGTTGGCGCCTTGTCTTTCACTCGTGAATGATAAGGTGCGTTGTCCATGATAACCGTGCTTCCAGGAGGGATGGCAGGGATTAAGACATTAAAAAACCAACCTTCAAATATTTCGGCATTCATCTCCTCGTGGTAATCGTTAGTTTTTTTAGATTGAAAAATCAGAGGAGGTGCGTTTATCCAACCATTAGCACTGCCAGCATGACACACAATCAATCTCTTGCCTTTTCCCAAAGGTGAATTTAGTGTTCCTTTGACCGAACCGTCAGTCCACCCCCTTTCCTTCACTATGTTCTCGTTGAGCCATGTTTCGTCGAGAAAAATAGCTTGATCCATGTCGACGTTTCGAGCTTTCCGTAGAAATTGACATCTTAATAGTGCAACAGTAGGCTTTTCCATTAGTACCTTTCTTCCATTAAACTTTTTGTATACAAATCCTAATTTTCTCAAAACGGCCCTCAACGATGACTCGCTTTTACCATACAACCCCCTTTCTTCAAGTGAACCCAGCAATTTCTTCAGTGTAGGAACTTCTTTTCTTTCATAGTATTCTATAACATGCCGCTTAATCGCACTCATTTGGAAACTGTCTAATCCTGTTACTGGTCGACTCTTTGGTGTACCCTTGGCATTTTTTCTTGGTGTTTTGATGATAATGCGCCTCTTTCGTGTAGATGTATCTTGAGATTCGGGTTCTTCAATATCACTTGTTAAATCTATATTTTCCATCGGAATGACTTCTGCTTCACGTGTCTTCTTCATTTCACGTAGTTGCGCATTGATTCGTTCAATTGTCCTCTTTGAAATTTTTGTGCAATCAGCAACGCGTTCTAAGACTTTCCTCACATCTTTTAGAGGTCCCATATTCGCTTTCTCTTCGTAAAAGTATTCAATAACCGCCGCAACAATTGATCTAGCCTGTGTATGAAGTACCTCTGACGTCATGTTACACGTAACACCATAAACTGATTTATATAAATGAACTGCTTAAAACACTCACTCCGACTACGAACTGACCCCGACACGACCGAAACAATTTACCAACTGAACTGACAAATAACTAGTCGAGCAGGAGAATGTGTCATAAGACCTTTGCACCGGGGAATGCAAGATACACAACAACAGTTGGATGAGTCATCTGAATTTCTGAACACTGCCGTAACGACTATACGTAGCGAAACATTCTCTTAGCATTGATTTAAATAAATATGTTTTTGTTAAGCCAACTTCGTCTTATGAAAAACCGAAACCACTGTAAGTAATCGTAAATATATATCTTCATCTAAAAACGATATATTATTCTCAAACAAAGAGTAGGCCTGTACTTAATAATATCACAATTATTTGGTATCACATTCAGCTCCTGCGTGACTTTGGACGACATTCTCTGAACATAATTGTAAATAGTAGATAGTTAGTGAACAGTAGTGTAAATGGTTTGTAAATACAGTAACCTTAAATATATACCTTGTTCAAAAAACTGTCTCTTATTTTAAAACCAGGTATATACTTAAAATCATCGTAATTATTTCGTGTTTGGGCTCAATGTTCTTGTTATTTGATGCAGGTTACAAAAATGACGTTATTTAATACACTTTATGGCGATATACAAAAACTCTATCAACTATGCATTACGCCTAGTGCCTGACTCATGGTCAAAACCCAGTGCAGCCGAGCGAGGGCTAATTAGGGACCGGGCCACCACCCGGCCGTCCTAATCCCTCAGCCGCCACGAAAGTTTGCGGGGAGTATAATGGGGGTAGCGGATTTTTATCCCCCTGGAATTTTACCCCCTGGGCAAACGTGACGTCACAAACCAGGGGGTAAAATTCCGGCCGCGAACTTTTGAGTTTCGCGACAACAGCTCGATGGATTAAACGCGGAATTAAACATATATTTTCACGGTTGTGAATTTAATCAGAACACATCAAATTATAAAAACCTAGAGTGTACGGCCCGGATTTTTACCCCCGGAATTTTACCCCCCGGAATTTTACCCCCCGGAATTTTACCCCCGGAATTTTACCCCCGGAATTTTACCCCCTGGCCAGATATATAAATTTGCGAGAATGATTAATTATCTTAATTCTGTTTTAATTCAATAGTAAACATTTTATTATTAAGTAGCCTATATTAATTTATTTGTAACATTAACTAACCGAACAGGTTTTTAATTTTAATTTTGAGATTCTAGTATTAGGATTCGATCTTTGAAGCTAACAGTTGGTTAATATGGCGTTTAAACAATCAACTGAATGATAATTGTTTCGAACATTTCTTTACAAAATAAATAAATAAAGATAGGCTACTAAATAATGAAATGTTTACAATCAATTAAAAACAGAAATAAGAAAATCAAACATTCAATTTCTAAAATGACAAGGGGGTAAAATTCCGGGGGGTAAAAATCCGGGGGTAAAAATCCGGGGGTAAAATTCTGGGGGGTAAAAATCCGGGGGTAAAATTCCATCCCGTACATCTTCAGTTGTCTAAACGCTAGTTATATGGACAGGGGGTAAAATTCCGGTTTTTATTGCTAATCTAATTAGTCACGCTCTGTCTATTTTCATTAGACTTCCAAATCCGCGGCGGTAAAATTTCGGCCGCGAACAAACTTTTGGTCACTCAGGTTACTACGTCATAGTGACGTCAGCTTTGCCCAGGGGGTAAAATTCCAGGGGGATAAAATTCCGGCGACCCATACTGATTGTGTATTTTAATGCATTCGTGTTCTAAGAAAGTAAGCGGACAGCTGATTTTGCTGCCCTAGGGATGTAAAAACTTGCTCGGTACCCAAATGACGACAGCTGGCATGGCCAGCAAAACGTAACTTTCAGCCACCATTTAACGTATGTAAAACAGCTAAAAACACCATAGTGTGGTGAAAAAATATATATTGACATATTCATATAACATAAATTCTATAATACTTTTTTTACGATTTAGAGACAATAAGATAATTAAACAAAATTATCACTGTTTATCGTTGTTTTAAAAACTACTATATATAATTCTGCAAACATTTAAAATTACTTTTCCAAAATTTAAATGATTTCAAACACCAAATAAAAAATAAAAAAAACTGTTTTAAAACAACAGTCAAAATTCAACATTTTATGATTAGTTAGATTTAATATCCTGCAATAGCATGTGTATGTTTATGGAATTGTGTTAAACAAAAACCGAATATTAAGTAATTTATTTATTCATGCCTTTTTTTTACTAGTTGCGGAGTTTTTTATGCAGTTATTCTCTCCTATTTTTGAACTGTTCACGATTTATTTGCATTATTATAGGTTTGATTCGACTACATATTGTTTCACAAACTATTCATGTATTCGCAGTAAAATCCAGATTTTTTAGAAAATAATTTAATGTTTACACTTTTAACAAAAAAATAACAGTGAACCCTTTTAGAGTAGAAATAATAAAACCATTACAGAAGTTCCAAGTATAAATGTATACAAAATAAATGTATTCAAACTATTATCTGTTACCGTACACATTATTTCCCCTACATTATTTAATTTAGGTATATAGAACTTTCTTTGTGTTATTTGATATTAACAATCTACTTGAATTCAAAATAAACATTACTTTATACTAACTACTTTATACTTTATTACTAAATATTGCTTTATTCACATTGAATGTTGAATGGCAGTAATTAGATTCCTACACGAAAGGAAACAAATTTGTTTACTATAAAGAAGCAATGGTAATCTTATTTAAAGTATGCGTAAAAATAAACTGCAGAGAGTTTAAGTCACAAAGAAGAACTTGTAAAATGCCAAGAGAGTTGTAAACAGTAGTTGGTATGTTGAACAGAAGAGCCGAAACTCCAACATTCTCAGCATACTTGGCTAACAGGTCGGCCTTTGCACCATAAACAAACCTGATTACTTTATGGCGTTGTTCTCGTCGCGCAACATTATTAAACTTTCAAGATATTTGCATAGAACCACTTTTCTGGGTGGCGCGATCATCTTACAGACAGCGGCGTTTTGGCGTGAAAATTATGTTAAGAGTCATTCAACAAGTTTGGAGCACAAGAATGAACTTTTGCCAATAAATGTGCTATGTTGGATCTTGTTAGTAGCTTTGACACCTTTATGCAGTAAATGCTATACACTGACGTAAATGTTTTTAATAATGAGCCAATCGAAACTATTTTTGGTTTAGTTCTAGCATAGATTTAAGAGTAGACCCCCCTTATAGATTAAAGAGTAGAAACAGTATGTCCACTCCTTAATAATATGGTTCTAGTAAAAATATGTAATAACACGTTAACTACATAAGTATGAAAGGATTTATTCAACAAACGAATTTAAATAATTACATGAATCCTTGTGTATCAAAAGTATGGTCTTGACATACACAAAGAAATGAATGAACAGAAAAGCATCATGTTAGTTTATCCTAACTTAAAACAGGAAATCTAAATAAATTTTATCTAAATAATAATTAAATCAAATCAGTAATTTTATTTAGTCAAAAGTAGCAAGAATTTGTCATTTGATATGTTATGACAGTATATAGAGTATACACATGTCTTCTGTACATTTTTAAATTGACTTATGAATAAAATCTCTTTGGTTGGTCTCCAGTTTCAATAATGAAATAAATATCTTTATAAATGCAATATTTATTATTCGAATGCTTTTGAAAAATCTCCTTATAGGGAGTACATACATCTAAGAACACATTTTATTTCGAAAATCCTTATCACTTAAAAATAAAATTTTATGTGATAAATTAATAAATATCTTATTTGCAATCCTTCTGAAATAAAACGAACCAATCTACTATGACATGGACTAAAAATTGATGGAGTAATAAATATTTATTCAATGGATAAATTAAAATGCACAAATAAATCAACAGTGGTAGATCTTAATGCGAATGCAATGTCAATGTCAGTAGTTAATGTAATGAAAAATACACTCTGTCAGTCAAATAAAACAAACTCAACACATAGAATAAAATACACATCGGTCTGGAAAGATGCGTTCAAGTTGAGCGAACTCACATGATGTGGAAGGTTTTACAAAATCACAATTTCTAGTCAGTTTCTCAGATTGAATGTGGTCTTGTTCGCCGGATTCGATTGACTCTGGAAACTTGAGAGGGGGACGATTGACATGTTCCTGGAGTTGGAATGTATGAGAAAAAAACGAAACTTGAAAATAAAGTTTGCTAAAGAACCTACAGTAAACATTTCTTCTTCTATTAGGTGTCACGTATTATTACTGGAAATTTTATTGCCTTTTACGGAACTAAAAGCTCTTAAGTAGTATAAAATCAGGCTGTGAGAAAAGGTATTGAGCGACTGTAAATTACGGTTGAAATACATATAGAACTAATGTAAAGCTACCATAGTTGTTCTTAACTGCGGAATTTCTATTGTAGGGTTTTTTTGAGAATGGCAAATCATTAGACTAAACTAATACACCACGTACCTCGTCTTGCAGTTCAAATATAGTACTTGAAGTCCACATATGTTTCGTCAACAAATATGGCATTCTGAATAATATAGTATTGAATTTTGATGTCAATTTGGATCAAATGTTCATGCTAACCACTTGAGAATGCCATATTTGGCGAAACATATGTAGTGGACTTCAAACACTACATTTTAACTGCAAGACGAGATACGTAATAGTTTAGTCTATACTACGCAGTTGAGGGGATACAAAATGGAATTTGAAACATATCTAGATCTTTGATGAATGCACATATTCTTTCAGACAAGTTCAGATTTGGTCTGTAAACAAACTATTCCTTTATCATGGTGGTAAAACATTCCTGCAAAATTTAGAACTTTCTTGTTTATTCCTGTTATCCTTCCTAGAGAGGATAATTGATCAGTTTAATATTTAAATCTCAATTTAAAATAGCGGCTTTGAATTTGGATAGCAGTTATTGACGTTGGATTCTAACGTCAACATCTCGCCTAGACCAGGTAAAGCTATGTGTTTTTGATCAAATAGAAAATAGGCGATAGCGA